TCCTTAGGCACGCCATATAATAATTCCCGGAAGAAAGTGGTGCCAAAGACTGACCCTTACAGATTGGGGAAATGTACCTCAGACTTTCCATTAACATGGAGCCTAAGAAAATGGTCACAAAAACAACAAATCTGCCAGAACTATGCCAGAACTGACCAAAGGTGGATTTAATAATTTCTCAAAAATAGGCTAATATAAATCAAAACAAATCAGGAAAAAAACATTTACAAAGACCCCTTGAAGAAAACTTGAACAAACATATGCTTACAGGATAACTGAGTGTTTTTATGCTTTCACCATATCCTCCATGTTTACAAGGCTTAGTTGAATACTCGATATTGATTGGTTAATTTGGACATTCCAGTGGTGGTTGATTCTCACTAACAGACCGCTGCTAAGGAGGATCAAGGGAATGTGTGCAGTAATGCCCAGAAAGAAGTCCAGTCAATTTAACGTCAGCTGTGGGCAAGAAACATTTGTTTTCTCCATAAGAAACAAACATGGAATACTTTTTGAATATTCATTTGTATATTTGTGGGGAGCACAATACTTTGGATTCATGATGGCTAAACTCTCCCCAGTAAAGAAAAGATAGAGGAAAGAGGTCCGAAATCAACATAAGACGGACAGGAAGTAAACACTAACAGGAGCACGGCATGGACTAAATATATTGTAATTGGAAAGGACATTTTTATAGAGTTAGAAAGAAAGAAATTATCAGTGCTGCCGTCATTGTAATGTATGTTTCTTTGGCCACAGTTTGAGCCACTATTGTAACGGACAATTATTTTCTAAGTGGAAGCAAAAGAATGCTTTTTAAATCAATAAACTCATTTTTGTGAAACAGGTTGTTAGTTCATTTAGTAGTACATCGGGAACCTGATCACCGTGTGTGATTTTGTCTATGAATTACCGCCTCACTGAACATTATCCCTAACTTCAAGCACTGATTGAAAGAAAGTTAGAAAAAGGATAAAAAAGCACTTTATTCTACTCATATCAACTTCCGATCTAAAGTATGCTCATAACTGCTGCACTGATGCAAACTGAATAGGAAGCGGAACACAAATGATGGATGGTCGCGTAAATAGAAGCGCTGACTACAGCCTTCAAGCAAAGGTCACATCTCACAGGAAGAAGAGCAGAAGAAAGTGGTATGTTTAACTCACTCGGTTTGAGAAATTGTATTATCTTTTGGTGTATTCACAGCTTTGTTTGCAAGGTGTGGAAAGATACCCCTACAATTTGTGATCCAGTGGGAAACATTATCATAACTTAATTGTAATTAACGTCAGGAGGTTGATTGTGATTAGCCAATATTCCATAGAAAACACTGATCAGCACTGTTTATGTATACCTGTTTTTTATTAAACGTAATGTCTCTTGGGTTATGTTAAAAATGTCAGTGATTAACGTAATCTAGCAGATTGCATAATATTTAGAAAGTAACCTTTTAACTAATGGCATACTTCATGGGTTTATTGTTCATTTTTCTTCTGTCAAATGATCTGATCTTGCTGTACAACATCAACTTCCAGAGAAACAAGCATGATAGAAGAGATTTTTCTTCTGTCTAACAGCGCTTGGTTAGGGTAAGAACAAGAACAAGGTTTAAGTTTGTATTTCAGAAAGAATCAATTGTGGGGACTTATAGTATGACATGCAACATATTTACTTTAATAACATGTAACCAAAACCATTATCTTTTACTTACTTTATTACATTACATGTCATTTGTTAGACACTTTTATCCAAAGCGACTTACATACATTCAGTACTGTGGGCAATCCCCACAGGAGCAATTTGGGGTGAAGTGTCTTGCCCAGGGACACAACGACATGCTGACTGCAGTGGGACTCAAACTTGCTACCCCCTGATTCGAAGTCCAGCAATCTATCCACTTAGCCACAGCCTTCATCACTTGTATTACTTATGGGACTCATTTCCTTGAACAGACAAGGTTTCTTGTGGATATATTTCCGGAGGTGATAATATGTTTTAACGTAACTAACATAATTGGGTAAATAAAGTAGTGCTATAAAAATGTCATTCCTAGGAGACATTGCTGAACCTGATATGTTTGATTAGTATATTTCAATTTACAAAACTTTAACGAAGCAGCCATTCCTAGGTGTATGATATTTGCCAGGATAAACGGAAGATTTACAAGAAAGCCTCTTGGGGCTAATGTCCGAAACCAACAGAAAGTCGGCCATTTTCAAGGACCTAAAACCAATAACTTTTACTACAGATTTAATCCAAACAAGTGAATACTTGATCAGTCCTTTCTTTAGAACATAAATGATCAAAATGAGCTTAGGCACTCGTGATACAAACTCGTTTCTGCCATGTGAATACTGTGGAGAGGAAATACTCATCCAATATTTCATGTATGTCCATGTTTTCTGCTTCACAATGGCTAACACCCCAAATCAACCAGATCTGTGATATGTCTATTTCTGTTATAACGTAGATTTTCTTCTTTTTTGTGGAATGTTCTTGATACAACATCATTTTAATAGTTGTGTTTACCAACAATCATTCATCAATGGGGAACACTGCAATTTGATGAAAGTGTTGAATCATAATCTATATTTCAATTTTTCTTTTGTATGGACAACTTTATACTGTTAAAATGGCAACTCAAGGCAGAGAACAATACCTGGATTGTTGTATGATTGTATTACTCATATTGCTGCAAGGTTGCAGAGTAGTGGTTTACTCTGTAAACAATTTATTATAGATTCATCAAGAACAAGTTTCAGACCGGGACATTTTGGAGAGGGGCAGTTTGGCCCCAGGCTACGTTTCAATAGGGGCAAAGCCTTGTTTGAAAGGATCAACAAAAAGCAATCATCCAGAGGCTGACCTGATTATTTTGTGGGAACACAATAAAGAATATAAGCCGACCGCAGTACATAGTTGAGATGTTCTGGAAAGGAGGCATGAAACACTGCTTGAAGGTGAATGTTATCTTTTTATTTTATTTGTCTAGGCTGAATATGTTTCAAGATGTCACTGTCATTTGAATTCTAGAGAAGGGTGCTATTTTCATTCCATTCTTTTTTGAAAGATTTGATTGCCAACACTGTCTGAAGATTAAATGTGCCCCGACAGTATCGACTCTGAAGAGTTCTTATTAACTCTTGTTCTTTGTTAAGTGCTGACAACTGGTACCCCAATTAGCCCTGTGAGTTGTGACATATCCAGTGTTTAGCTGTTCACTAAATGTATGCTGGGATTCTGGGATAGTTACGTAATGACTGATGCAAGATCAGAGACGCAGTCAAGGAAGCATGAATAGATGACTAGTAGGTGTTCATGTTGATGTATAAATGTGAAGATATTTGCTTGTTTGAAGAGTATCAGCTAATTTAGATAGGTTCAATGTATATCTAATTTGGTTGTGTTCTCCTATTATTTACTTGTTCTCTTTATTGATGAAGTTTCTGTGTAGCTTGCATAGATGAACAACTAAACAAATGCACAAATATTGCTGCGATGACCTATTTCTATATAATGTAATGTTCAATGTTACTGCTCCCACACTGATGTTGCATCATGGACTATTAATGTTCTTGTTAAACGAAATCATACCGCAGGAACGGGCCAACACAAATTGTATATGTCTAACGTGCACAATTTATAACGGTTGTCACATGTTATTAGGTTATTTCCAAACGGAAACATATATGTCCGTAGAGCCATATGAACCAACAGCAGTGGTGGGCGAAGAAAATGTTAAATATAATGACCTCTTTCCAAATTACTTTAGCAAGTTGTATCACCCCTCGACTATAGATGTTTCTATGAGTCACTTTAGAGGCACTTTCATGTAGCATTTCTAGACCCAGTGACACAACATTCAATACATTTGATACATATACAGTTTATTGTATTGACTTTGAGCTCACTAGTATTTATATTATACTAATATTACAGTATTTTTCTACCAAAGCAATATATTTTCACTGATAAGATTTGGCCCTCCCAGGACGAATCAGAAATACTGTGTTTACATCAACATTACGTTACATTTTTCAATGACTGAGAGATGCTCTCTGCATGTAAATAAGTAGCAAGAACAAATAAAAAAGCTTCAAAATAGAGATTTTCTAATTGAAAGAAATTAGGATCTGTATCTGTAGGACCCCTATAAGTCCAGGTACCATGAATGTTTAGGTTGTTCCGACTATATCACTATGCTGGGCTGAGACTAGGTCAACATATAGCTGGTGGGAGGCCTTTTATGTTAAATATGAATATACGTCTGCGAACATGTTTTTTTCCGATCTGTGAAATTCCACATGCACATACAGTATGTTGCAAGAACTTGAAACACAAGGCAGTAGGACTCAAATGCACGACTCCAGTAGACAGAGGTAAAGTATAAGAAAATACTTTACTCAAAAAAACTAAGGATGCTTACAAGGAGGATATGTAAATAAGAAAAGATCAACGCTCTTGACGAGGTGAGAAAAACACAGTAAAAGGAAGCCATCAAAAGGTATCAACAACAATTCACTCAGAATGAGGATCAAAACTAACTATCAGAAAAATACAACAAAATAAGGTTATCAAAAGGTATCGATGGAAAATCACTCAGAATGAGGAACAAAATTAACAAAGATTAACGGGAATTTAAGGGAATAAAGTGGGAATTTTCTAAATTGAAGGTTGGCTCTTCACAGGGAACTTAAACATAGTTGGGGAAAGTATATTTTAGCATAATCTCTGACTAAAACAAACAGATGCCATTCAAGTACACTTGAATATCCATGCCTACCGGAAACTTACCGGAAATGTTCCGCCCCTTTGCAACCCTAATTATAATATAAATATTACCAGACTTATCCAATTTATTATTTAAACATCTGACTTTGCAAACAATCAGTGAAATTATTTAGTCATTTTGTGTATGTCTTACATTTATTTTACCATTGGAATTACTTGTCATCAGCCACACAAAGAAGTAAACATATANGTGTGCCTTGGCAGCCCTTCTAACCACTAAATCCGGGCGAGGGACTAAATTCTAAACATGCAAACACTATTGAAATGTGCACCAACTTCTTCTTTCTGTAACATACTGCAAAGTGCATATTAGGAACTGGGTGCTCTCTTAACATTTGAGTTTGGCTCTTTGCGCTGTGGCCGCTGTCAGCTCTCTCTCTACGAGGCAAAGAGGCTTGGCTTTACTACATTGACATTCTTAACATTGGGTTGCTTTACAGTGCTGCCCTTAATATCACACAGGTAAAACATGAAGCGTTAGCATTCAGAAGCTACACAGTTCCCAGGGCACCACCTCCACTGTAAAAACTGAAACATAAAGTGACTGTTGAAACATAAAGCCTCTGATATAAGTTATTAAATAAATAAAAATTCTGACATAATATAACTAATTACAGCCAGCAAAAATAAGCTTTTACATTTTTTTTAGATCCACTTTATCAAAAAAGGGATAGTTTGTTTATCATTCCATATGCATTCTGCGTCAGCATTCACTGCATTCATGGAATACCTTACAAAATACATAATCCTTGCATTGTTTGGTAGTTGTAATCCTTTTCTTTTACAGTACCATGACTTGTAACTGTACATTGAGTAAGTATAATACAGCAATTACAATGAGATAAGAGGGGAAACCCATTGTCTGGTGTAACTGGGGTCGGGGGAGCGGGTGGTCTGCTGGTCTAGGTCTAAACTGAACGAGGCCCTTAAGAAATCCCAAATCATCCGGACTTTCTTTGTTGATCTTTCAAGGATTTAGGCCCAGGTTGTGGCGCCGGACTTGCTGAGATCAGAGTGGTTGGGTGAGAGTCAGGGGAGAGGGATTGAGGTCAAAAAGCGAAGTGTTGAAAGCCAGAGTTGCCATGGTGACTTCAGAAGTGGCCCATCCTGGCGGCGAAAAGGCTGCGTGAGCGTAGCCTGGCCGAGGAGATGCGGCCAAAGTTGGACGAAGGCCACTTCATGATGAACTGAGAGGTCACTGGCAGCAGATACCTGGACAGACGGGCAGAAACCAGGGATTGTGGGATTAAGGGAAAGGATGAACATAATGAGAGGATCAGATATGCAAAGTTCATTATTTAGAGGTCAGGGCTCATTGGTGTTCGGCACCACATATTGCACACCTTTCATATATTGATTCTACAGTTTTATGGCTGTCTTTGTTTGCACTTTTAAACTTTATAATGACCTGGTGATTTCAAGATATTAAAACCCTCACCCTCCCCTTGAAAATGGGAGAAAAAAAAGAAAAAACCTGTGAGATACATATGATTTGGGGTTGTGTGGGGCTGCCTCTACAGCCAATTTAAGATTAAGATTTATTGTTTACCACACACACAGAGTTGTCTTGTTTTGTCTGACCAACAGTCCAAAACCAAAATATATATTCACTGTAATACAATTTATGGTAAAGAAAAGCCTAAAATTCTCATATATATGAAGCTGAAAACAGCAATTCATCGTCTTTTTGGTTCGAAAGAATTATCAGTGATTATCATCAACCATTTTGACTACCCCATCATCACAATACTTGATGAAAAATACGATGCATTTGATTGAATAATTGATAAATCATTACAGCTTTAATTGTATGGAATGTACCAAATCTAACATTCTATTTACACCGTAATCTCAGTTACAATCGTTCTTAATTAGGTTGTTCGATTATTGATGTATGTGCTTGTAGAATGATACATTATTGACCATATACAGGCAAAAGCAGATCTATTTTTTTCTTTCAGGACAACGGTATTTTTCAACTTCGACCCTTTTTTAAAAAACAAATCGTTGGTATCATGAACATAATATCCTCACCTATCATTCCGTGGTATAGGCTTCAGTATCTTTCTAAGACTTTTCTATGACACCTTCCACCGAGACAGAGCAGTGAGGCAGCTCCTGCTAACAGCGTTCCAGTACCTGAGAATGAGACCAGCGTCAGGTTGAGATGAGTGAGGAGGGGCTGAACCCTGCTCCCATGATCCTTAGCTACTGGAAATGAGTCAGATATGGTTGTCAGAGCAATGTCAGATGATATGATCAAATCCTGAACAAGGTTAACTGAAGGTTACGCAAATGTTGGGTTACTGTTCAGAAACATGACACAAGGGAAAGTTCTTCCAGACTCATCAGTTGGAAGAGTGACTTACATTCTTTTGCGGCAATCATATTGGGATGGCGTACATTATGTGACCTTATTGCCGCAAATGCAGCAAGGATCTTTAGCTAATAAAAAATAAATCTAATACTCCTTTAGTTAAATGAGTACAACGGACAAAAGAAATAGTCCCTTTGGAAATGTTAAAGATGTGACAATCTAATCAAAAGGGAGCCACTGGGGCCGAGGATTACAGAATGAAGAAATAATATCTTCTTTTAAACTGGTGCGGCGATAGCATACTTTTCTCTGACAGCTCTCTCTCTCTCTCTCTCCTTGTGAAATAGCTCTTGAACAAATTAGCCGAGCAGTTTCTTCTAAAGTCGACCGGAAAGAGAAAAAAAAAAAGCCCATGGGGCGTCCGCTTCCACACAGTCTCAGACTCAGGAGAGTTAGAAGGCCTTTTAAATTAACTTCATTTAGTTCAACAAGAGTGTCCTTGAAGCAGCTTCAAGTGGGCCGTAGGAATCCCTCCAGCACATCTTCTTCTTCTTCTCTGACTGGACTCGAACAAGGGCTCAGTCCGCCACTACTTCTTAAACTCCCACACTCAAACCCAAGAGAGCAGGCGGGCAGGATTGCTGTAAGCCATTTACTGATTCCATGATTATGTGTCACCTTTTGGATTCATTTCTTCTACATTTTTCATGTTTCCGTTCCCCACCATCTTTTTCTATGAGATTCCACGTGATCATCCATTGGGATTCTGTTCATGGATTTGTGGTGTGATTTTTTCCCCCCTTTATTTCCATAAGGCCTTTACCAGAAAAATACCAAGCCCAGGTATGGAAATGCCATTAAGAAAGATATAAAAAAAAGAAAGAATATCAAATATTGAACATTCATCGAGGGCCCGAGTGTGTGTTCTTCAGAGATCCTCTGCTATTCACTTTGAGAATATTCTGCTCATAGATAGCATCACGTTGCTGGTAGTGGCGGGGGGTTGGGTAGGAGAGCTTCTCACGTCCAAGCGGCTGCTGTCTCTGCAGGCTATATTTAATTGGACTCTCATTCCGGTATCCTCCAGGTCCGTCCTCCTTTTGATCATCAAGAAGGTATTGGCAACAACGCGCATGCTTGAAAGCCAGAGGGAGGCTTGTTCATGCACTTGTGCTTTGCTTCAATCAATCAGTTGACAGGGAGACAGAAAGATGCTCCCCTGCTCCGCTCCTTACATGCAAAGCTACAATCTACCACTGTTTGTACTGACAGGCCTTCCATACCACTCCTGAGTGCTCCATCGATATGCAACTGCCACAGCAAATTAAGAGGAGGACGGACAGAAAAAAATACCATGACTTAGGATGGAGAGGATGACTGCCGAAGCAGCTGACGCAATCGTAAACCAAGAGGTACAAAGAGGCTTGAAGGTTATCTGCAACCCACATTCAGCTCAACACCCCAATTAACCCTAATTACTGCCGCACTTTTCCGACTGATGAAAGTTAATAGAATCTGAAACTTTTGTCATCATGGGAAAATTGTCTTTGGGCAGTGACAGTAATTCCAGGCTTAACAAGAAAGTCATTAGAGTAGCTATTTGGCGACTTCCTCTCATCTGCCCACGCCAACTGAAGGACTTTGCTAAGACTCATGGGGCTGTTGACACACCTGATCAGGGGCACTCAGCAGAGGAAGGATGCTTGAACAAGAGCGGGCAGGTGTGGTGAACAATGGAGACCCCGAAGACCCCGGCCTGCAGACCCACTTTGATGTGTGCCAAAGGCTGCCATGAGCTCTGTGAGTGTATGTGTAACACGCGTGTGTGTGCATGCACAAGAGACGGCGTGGTGTGGGTATTCAGAAGCTACACTTATGTATGATTTATTATAGCATTTTATATTTGATTTCAGTAGTTACAATAACCAGAATTTGGAAGTTTGTCAAACAGGTCTTTCAGATATGACATTGTTTTTGAATTATTTAACTGTAAACTGTAAGACATCAATGAAATCAGCCTTTAATAGATGAATAAATAGTTAACAGGTGTCATACGGGAGTGTCCACACAAATGCAGAAGAATGCAGAACATTTTGCTCCGTCTGTTGAGAAGTGCCTGGGTTTGGCTTGAATGTTTTTAACATGGCTGCCGGGTCAAATGCATTCAACAGCAAGACAGTGAACAAAAGGAGAGAAATTATCTTGTTTCATTTTTTACGAGCATTAGATTTGTTTGCTTAAACGGTGCCAAGTACAGGCAATTGGTTGAAGCTGGTCAAAGTTGATATAAATGAGTTTTGTTCCTTGAAGTGAATGTTTTATTTGCCCCTGCGCTCTCATGGAATGGAAAATGGGAGGTAAATATTCGCCAATGCATTTTTGAAGCATGTGTGACCGTGCCCTAATGGTAGTGTTCTCAAAAAAGGCTGGTCTGTAGCTAGATATTTAGAATATATCACATTTCTTAGCATTTAAAACAACCCATCTCATTGGATGTTGGCCCTCCATCGCCAAGTTGAGTTCCAGCATTTATTCAATGGTGGCCTTACTAATGCTAGTGACAAAAAGGACAACATTAACAATCCTCTTTTAATGTTAGATACATGAACAAGTTCAGCCGTAGCTAATGCGAAGCTTCAGCAATCTGAAACCAGTGGGTGGCTTTCAAAGTTTTTAGTACTAAATTGCCTTATTTTGTGTTTCCCATGTCAATAGGAAAACATTGTTAAGAATTATTGAAGGAAGGATGTAGTGGAAATGTAAGGATGTGATCTCTTTAGAGCCACATTTTAGAGCATGTAAGTAGTGTTTCAAACATAACCTATGGTTTAAATGTACTTCTCAGTGAGATGTGGGCACAGTAATTAAGGAGGGATGGATGAACAGCCACATGATGTGCATGCAGACGCACACACTCTCATACACACCCTCTCATAGAAACGTATGCATCAATGAGAGAATAATCGTAATTGCTTCTCATCCATCTGAAGTGGCGGCGGTTTGCGACTCTTCCCTGCATGCCTGATGGAGAGATGTGAACCGCTGGTGTTGTGAAACTGTAAAACACGTGATGCAAGCAGAGCCATTTTCTGTCTTCTTGTGACAAGAAGAGTGCGGTGCTTAGGTTGACACTGATGCGGTGCAGGTGAGGTGCTCAGTTCCCACTGAGGCCACTCATTTTGAAAATGCACTCAGGGTAAGGTGCTCTTGATGAAAGCGTTGAGTGAAAGGCATAGTTAAGCATGTGGCAGCAGGGTAATGGGCTGGTGATGTACAGCAAGCTGGCCGGATGGTTGCGCTATAGACAAACAGTGCTTCAAACAGTCTTCATATGCTTCCTTCTCCTATCTCCTTCCTTTCAAATCCATCATTTATTGATTTGGGCATCAGGTGGTTTAATACACATCTGATTATCATGCTGTATAAGTCAATTCAAACTTGAATATTAGTGAGGGAAAGGAGAGGAGGCCATGCTAGACTGTTGGTTGTGCAGCTAAAGCAACCATCATTGGGCAGGTGGGACCAAGCCTTGGTTACAGCTATGAGGTGGTGGGGAGGAGCAGAAGAGAGCAGGGGACGGGGACGGTGCTGGAGGATGGGGGGTTTAGCAGAACTAAACCAAGCAAGAGACCTGCGTCGAGGGGCGAAGAGACGGAGGAAGGAGAAGAAGCAGCGACAGCAGCAGGTGTAGTGGAGCCATGGGTAGAGGCTGGTCCAGCAGCAAATGGTAAGCTTTTTTACAGACATATATAAACACAGAAGAAATAAGGAGAGACAGACCAATGCATGCTTTTTATGGACTCTAACGGATACCTACTGCAAACATACTGATACACCAGTGTTAATTTGTGTGCCTGTGAGTTATAAAATCCAATTAGTCCTCCCATATACCCCTGATTAATGTATCATCCTGAATCTATCCTCAAAACAAACATACTCATGATAAAACAATCAATAGCCACAATGCCAGATTAATCAAAACATAAGGAGCTTTACAATTGTACACAAACCCCACCTGTTTTTTCTTTTAACAGCGAAGGTTTTCATACTGTAGGCGCAAAGTGATAGCCTGTTTAAATATGCGTAAGAGTTATGAATCATGTAAAGCGAGGCCCGAGGAAAAAAAGAGCGCTCTCTTTTTCTCATAAGGTCATTTGCTACACAGGCTCATCTGGGCTCTAATTGAATTAAGCAGGCCTCGGGGGGCCTCGGGCTAACCTGAGCGCTAATCTGTGGGCCATTATTTCCTGTTAACGGCACACTCCCTCACTCCCCTCTCCTCGCCCTCCTCCCTCCCTGTCTGCCAGCCCAAAGCATATGTTCTTTAAAAGTTTGCTCACTCCAAACCTGAGCTGCTGTCTCCTGCGGGGACCAACCTTAAAAATAGAATGAGGCACGAGTTTTTTTGTTTGTTTTATGGAGGTTATGTGATTAGGATGATGGCTCTAAGTCTCCATGGAGGGGAAAGGGGGAATGTTTTCTGAAAGAGGTTTCATGATGAAAGCGGTTGAAACCAAAGTGTTATGTCTTTGTGTCAAAGTGTCTTCTTTCAGTGCCTTCTAAAGGGAGTTTTAACAAAGTTTATTGAGACATCTATGTTACTTGTTCTGCATTAACAAACTTGGCTTTAACCAGTTTCCTTCTGGACCAAAATATCAACGAGAAGAAGAGAACAAAATAAATATTCCCAACAGTATCCTGATGGGCTTATTTTCCTGCTCCTAATATGTGTTTGTTGTGATATTTCTGATACTTTTATGAACATTTGTGTAAACTAGAGCAAAATAAACTCCAAAACTGAAAACTTTTCAAGCAACAAGGTTAATGCCTTGAACAAAGACACAGCTTTAACCGGGGACCTACAAGTAAGATGTTGAATCCCATTGTGTCTCTGAAGCATATCCAGCCCCCCTACTGCATAATGAACTATATATTACAGCAAGAAAGATATAAGAATCTTTCAAAAAATAAGAGCTAAGTGGGAAGACATCAAAGGCTTGGGTGTCCTTCTCACCTGGTGTCGTCCCATTCGGGGCTGAGTCCGGTCAATGAGCCGCGGGACTCCGAGACAAACTTGAAGACGACCACCAGGCAGTCTCTGCACAGCTGGACCAGCCGGCGGCAGCACTGCAGCTCCTGCGGGGACACCACCTCGCTGCTCTTACTGAAGACGCTCTCCCACGAAGAACTGGAGAGCAAAGAGGAAGAACATGCACAGAGAGGGAAATGAAGTTCATAGTCAGTCTCTGTCACAATGTATTCACCAATATGAACAAAACATATATATCTCCAGTGTGCTCCAGTGGTTATTTTAGAAGCTTTTTGCGATTGAGTCGTGTTCTGTTGACAACAATTCAGTAACATTTAAATCATTTTCATCTTTCATAGCTTTAGTCTAATTGTAGCGCATGAAACTCAAAACTGTTTGTCTTGTTATTTCAGCTGTCAGCTTTTTTTTCTCAAATTTGATTCTTAATGTGTCAAATGTACTTTTTTTGTCATCAATTTGTATTCCATTTTGTTGAGCCTAAACCAGCAATGTTGTAATTTTAGTCAAACGTATCTACCGGTAATATAAAATGTAATCATATCATCATCTGACTACCCTATAAATAGGAATAAAATCTGGTAGAAACACACGCCTGTCATTAATGAAATAAACACTAATATGCATGATGCAGGCACACAGATTAAGTAACATTCATTCATATGTATGGAAACATGTTATCTAATGTGTGGCTTTCGCTGTTCATGTATGTGTGCATGAAAATGTGGCCACACACAGACACACAGACACACAGAGGAAGGATAAAACAAATCCAAGTACAGTTAACCCCCTTTACAGCCCCGGACATACCCCTGACTGTGAGAGAGCTTCCACAACTGAGACACACAACCCCAGGGGGGACGTTTGATGTCTATCCCCTTTCTCTCCACGGGAGATGTGGGG